GTGTGTTTCTATCAGTCTTCCTACCATTATGACCAAGTTGCGAAAACAAGGTCAAACAACTTCTATACAATGTATGCAAGTTGCGCAATTGTGCGGCATTTGACTATGGTGCCTCTTTCGGATTGCATAACGATAAAACACGCAGTCTTGGTTGTCCGACGACCACTTTCATCTCTTGCTCATACCACATACACAGCATCTCTATTTTAAGTTCAAAATGTCTTGCTCAGAAGCGCCATCCACATATGTAGGAATAAGAGGCTAAATTACGTAATATCTGTGAGTTTATTTAAATATATGAATAATGATGTAATGAGCTCATCTCATATAATACGAAGTCAATAAGGCAACAACAAATAAGTACAAATATTCATAGTTGAATTGATATAACTTAATTGGTAATATAAAGTAAGTGTTTCAATGCAAGATTTCTTTCTATAAAGAATGAAAAAGAAACTAATCTAGTTAAGTTCAAGATAAATATAAACAAATTAGAAGTTCATTGAACGAAAGCTAAGATTGAGCTCCAGCAGGTATAGGTAACCATAAATATAAGTATTTCTAGATTAGAAAGTGAACTAGCTATTTATAAATGGTTGAGATTGTTAAAGCAATAATGAGATCGTACTAATATATTTTTAATTAGTACAAGAAGCCGCAAATTCTTTGCCCTTTTTGATATTTGCTTTCAGCTCGGGAATTGCCTTCTTTAGAAGATCAATTTCGAATTCATTTAATTTTCCCAAACCCATGGTACGTTCAACTCCAGAAGCCTAAAATACGAAAAGAGCAGTGAAATTATGAATATTAGAATAAAAAATTCATAAGTGCTTTCTTACACCAAGGAGAAGAGGAGTTGCAAAGAATTCACATTCTGTAACATCAGATTGTACGAAAGCACATTCAACAACGCCTTGCCTTCCACTCATTGCCTCCAGCAAAGAGGTGACGAAGCGAACTCCAGCATAAGCCATACTCAAGGTAGCGGAGCCCTATAATAGTAAAAAAAGAATTCCAACAAATATCACAAAATATATGATGATTTCTATTACTAGAAATAAAAAATTATTTGGATAAGTAACATTGCAAAATGAGTGAGGAAGTATGGCGAATCTATGATGATCATACGCTCCAAAAATTGATAATTTTCAAATATACCACAAAGAAAACATGCTAAAATCCATAATTATAATTTATCCCATAAAGCGTAAGCATTTAAGGCGACCAAAGCATTGACAATAAATTCTGAGTTTCTTATGATAGTGGATTGACGTTCTTTGTATGCTCTAAACAAATTAGAACTAGAAACCATGGATTGTGCAGCTCTCACAAT